ACCCATTCCTCACACGTTTCTTTACTATTAAAAGCATTCATCTTCCTCTTTTTTTTTTCCAACAGCAAACAGCTTTGGTTTTAATTACTCCTAAGCATGTACCTCTAACCATGAGGGCCCAGCAGAGATCCACCCCCCTGCTTCTGCAGCCAAAGGAAGGAGTAAAAGAAAAGGAACATGCACCCTTTACACTCCAGGGACAGGATAGAAATCCTCCTTTCTCAGAGTCTGCAATGCCCACTCCTGCACACTTTCTCAATGCTACAGAACACAGAGAGTTGGTGCAGAGACTAAATATATTTTAGGAGTTTAGAAAGATTTAAAGCTTTTCACTTGGGGTAGGAAGCAAAGCATCATAGCTCAAGAACAATTGAATAAGGTGGGAGGGAAGCAGCACCTGAACAGATCCTTTTCCTCTTCAAGGCTGCTAGGTAAGATGTTGTTCCTTTGCCTGGCCTTTTCTTTCTAGCCCGGATACAACAGGACAACAGGCAATGTTTCACTCCTGAAAGTTTGTGTCTGAATATTACATTTCATTTTCTTTTCTGAATTTCTAAAAATTAGTAAGAAAATAAAAACAGTCTTCAGTAAAGAAACTGACTCAAACCAGTTGCCCTCTATAATTCAGGAAAGAAAAGCATTTAGTATTTCAGGATGGAGTGTGCAATATTAATCATAACAAAATATGAGAAAATGCAGACTTTTGCATTCTCTCTAGGTGATTACAAACTTTTATTTGTCTCCTATTTCATATGCAAAAGCAATAATAAAATTTAAAAGCATCAGTTTATATAACACAGCATAGTCTGTCCCTCAATATTTTCACTATTTTTTTCCCCACAAAGCAATTTGAACCTTATATTTATATGTTTTTAAAACTTTATATACACAAATATATAAAGTTTTATTAAATTTACAATCATGTCTCCAAGTAGTAATGTCTCTTTCTGTCACTAGAAAATGGTTTCAAAATGGCAATAATTTTTAGGCTTTTGTCTATACTATTTAATTCACTAAATGTAAGGGCTTGGGGGTTTTTGCACCCCTTATTTATGAGATAGCAAGTCTGAAAAAAAATTAAAATCCATCTGAACCCAAGAGGATATTGGTTGTTTCCCAGAAGAACATCAGCAGAATGGATACAGTGAATTTTTATTGCTCTAAACTTGATTAAATCATAACATACAGAAATCCTCCCCACCTCACCAAAACATTTCATTAATGATAAAATAAGAGCTGTGACTAGTAAGCTTGACTGGTAAGCTGTATTTTTTATCTCACCTTTAAAAGTTTAAATACTCTCTGATTTAACAAAATATAGCAAATATTAAACATTAAATTGGATGAGGACTGGTCTTTCCTGAAAGGGGTTTTCCTGTAACCTGAATTCTTGCAGAGCTAATGCCCTGAATTTTAGAAAATCTAACATGTCTCTGTTTTTGTTGCTTTTAGCATTACTGTCGCTGGTGAAAGAATACATAGGAACCCTGTCTGAATTAAGATCCTTTGTAATACACAGCAAAAATACATCTCTATGTGGAAAAAGTTTCTAATATTATAAAACATCTTATTATGAAATTCAATAGGTAAATTCTTAAGCGGACTTGCTTTGTAAATGAAGGGATGGAAATGAAAGTGAGTTCTAAAACACACTCCCTTAGGAAGATACCACCAAATTAGCACACCTCAAACTGAAAAGCTTATTTACTACTTTTATAAGTAGCTCATCCTATTTGGAAATATTAATGTTGGGTAGGGGAACTGCACAAGACTACAGTACACCATGAAGAATGCTGTGAAGTTTTCACAGGCACAGATTCCTACCTGCAAATACAACCACTATTTTTCTAGCATTTCATGATTGAAAGTGAGCAGTTTATGATTAATATTTTTTTTGTACCTGCTGACTGTATTCCTTATAACACATTGAATTCCTGAACTCATGCACAGCATCATCAGCTGTGCAGCCACTGAGGCCACACTGTGCCTGCAGGGACACCTGTGGAAGCCCCTGCAGGTGTCACCACAGCTGGAGCTGGGGATGAACAGAGTCCAGCACAGCTCATTCCCTCCACACTGCTCAAAACTCAGCTGCCTCTTTCATGTGACACTCAGAGGGTCTGCCTATAAATGCACACCACTCCTAGGACTGGGTGATAAGAAGGGGGCTTTTTTATATAAGCATTCTTTAAGATGTCTAAAACTTTACAGGCCATGTAGAAAAATAGATTCCCTAAAATTTTGGTTTCAGATCTTGCAGAAAGCCTATTTACACTGAAAAATGCTATTACAAGCATTTGGAAAAATCCTGAAAATAGTAAGATAGAGGCAAAATGATCTTTCGTCTCTCTGATGTGGGATACAGAAAGTCCTGCAAGCTTCCAGACAGTAACAGGACCTTAGACTCATTGAAGGCCAGTTGTTTTCCTTTCCTAACATTAGCCTTGTTATCCAAGACAAAGAGAATGATCTAATGGCCTATGAAGCAAGTTTTTTTTTTTGGTAGAGAAGGTTCAGACAGCTATTCCACACCCAAGCATGTTCTTCAGGGCAGTAATGCTTTTATGAACAAAAAAAGTCAGTGCTGAAAGCACTCCAGTAATTTTAAGCAGATCAGGCTATAGACAACTGCTAAGAGGAAAATCTGGCAACATAAGATAGACAAGATAAGATAAAGAGATCTGGCTGTAATCTATGTAAATTAAACTCCCATTTACTCCATGTGCTCCAATCAATGAGTGATGTGGGTGCAACTGATGGCTGATCTTGGCCTAAAATCTCAGAATATTTAATTACAACTCAGTGCTCTAGATGGTCTTAACTCAGCCAAACAAAGACTTCCAAGGTATTACATTGCTGTTTGTGTAATTACATGATTGGGTGATAGTTTCCAGTTGCACCAACCTAACTACAGTAAGTATGAGGCAACTTTTCACTCTCCTTCTTAAAAGGTCAGCAAATGGAGAGAGTATTACAGAGACACAGCTCAGACCTGCAGGCTCAGCTCCAGTTTTCCCATCCCTGGATGGGCACACACTGACTGTGCCTGCAGCAGCATTTAGTCATTGTACAAGAGCAGGTCCCCTGAGTGCAGCCGTGTTCCAGCTGGCTCACGTGTTTTCTCTGTAGAAGAGAGACTGCTTAGCACAGAAATGGAGCATCTGTGGTTGTGTATTTCCCTAAGATGTGCAGAGCAGGAGCTACAATGCCAGAGGACTGCACAGCTGTTCTGTGTGGCTCTCCTCAGTTCTGGTGATAAAGGAAGGGAAGCCACAGTCTCCCTCTGTTATTTCCTTCCCTTTTCTTGTGAATTTATAGTTGATATACATAGATGTTGCTATCTCCTCTACCATCTCCTCTACCCCTGTTCTCTTTTTCATCATCCTTACAGAAAGAGGTAACATTTTCAAAAGAATGGCCTTTGAGTCTGCAAAACTTTGTCTGTGCCATTTCAGAACACAAGTGCACACTCTACTTGTAGATTGGGCTGGTTGCCTGTATTCAACTTGCACCCAAACATATGCAGGGGCCCAGAGCAGCCTACTGAGCTTGCTCTTCATCTGAGTCATATCTTGCCCAAAATCTTGCTTGGTGCAGTTTCTGGAATACTCCCTTTAAGAAATCTGGAAAGTGATGACTAGAGGATGTTAATTCCACCTCCTGTAGACTCTTATGAATTCCAGCATACCCATTCTTTCCATATTAAACATATAAACACATTAGGAATTGTCTCATATGAAGTTTAAAAAGAGATGCCATTTCAGGTGTGACCAGCCCCACTGTGTTTTATTGGTTTATTTCAGTTTGCTGTCTGTCTGTGCATTTGTGCTGATCACGTGCAGTGCAGGTGAGAGCAGGGCTAACGCAAGCGTGCCTCATCTCTTGCACAGCAGCTGACTGGAGCCTGCACTGTGTCCTGGAGCTTTTAATTACAGCCCAATAAACTGTGGCTATCTAACACCACCCTACCCTTACATAACCCGAGCTGCAACACTCTGGCACCAGTGAGTGTTTTGTTTGCTTACATGATTATGACCTCAGGCAAGAGCTGCACCTGGGCATATGACACAGTCTCGGGGCACTGAGAAATGCCGTCTGCATTCAAAAGCTGGTTAAGAGAGTAATTTTATGGAGAGCTTTTCTGCCACATTTTGGCATTAGCTAAAACCCTTGGGGAAATAATGGAAACAAAAGGATGATTTTCCTGTTTAAATTGCATCTATTCGAGCAGGACTTGCTTGTTAAACTTTGATCACCAAATCATTTTGGTACAGTCTATTTCTAAGGCAAGACAGATTTTCCCATTACTTTGCAGTTTCTGAATTCAGTTGCCTTACAACTGAAAATAAGCAATAAGGTTGCTCAACATATACCTACTCATGTCCCAGAAACTGTATGAGTCACATCACTTAGCGCTGCAGAGAAGCAAAAATTTTCAGACTATAGAAATTATTTGAGAGCTTCCATAGAGTATTGGCTCCTTGTGCAGCAGAGCACATAGGCATATATTTAAAAAGCAGATTTTCAAAGACATAGAAATGGATCAGCTAGTCTATCTCAAACTACAAGGTTTTTGTCCCTTTGAATATCTTTCCTGTCATCTTTAATAGACTCTAAATATATGCTTGAAGGTAAGCAGAGGCTTTTGAACTGAATAAACATCATCTTAAGCAAATATTTAAACCTGTTACTGAACTTTATTCTGAGGAGAACCAACAAAAATCCCAAATTAGTTTAAATCCATTTAGAATTCTTCACTGTGAATTATTTGGATACCTCTACTTCAGTTAATTGTTCAAGCCGCAGAGCCAGTGAAATATTTTGCCAGAGCAATATATGATATAAAGTCAGCATAACAATAACACACAATGTAAATACCAGAAAGTTGTGTCAATCCCTATTTTCAGCACTAAACATTAAAATATTTTTGAACTATCTTTCATAACTTTTACAGTAAATTTTTCATCACTTATCACATCAGTCTGGAACTAAGACCTTACCTCAGAGAATTAATTTTACTTTCAGATGCAGAGTTTTGTTGAAGGGGCAGTGCAATCTTGTTGGGCTTCAAGTTCTGATGAGTATCCCCTCATTGTGTCTGAGAACAGTTTTCTGTGTGGGGAGAGGTCCTCATTAGCAGACATTCTTCCCTGTGACAGAGATGAGAAAAATAAAAAGCAAAAGTGTGTTGCAGCAAAGGCACACATGACAAATTCTAGCACTGTTTCAGTACTCAACAGCATTTGCAGCTATACCAGGAGAGCAGAAGTCACAAGCAGTAACATCTGACAGACACAGCTGTGACCTGACACCTGTCTTTCCAAACACAGGCTCTGGGCTGTGGGTGTGTGGGCCAGGCCGTGCTGAGCCGCGGAGTGCATGGAGGGCCCATGACGGTGTCGGTGGGCTTTGCCATGGCAGTCACCATAGCAGTGTACGTGTCCGGGGGCGTTTCTGGTAAGTCACTTCTCTTCTATAGCATTTATTGCTACAGTGCTAAGGCTCCCTTGTTAAAGGGCTTCCACTTCATGGTATAAACAATCATAAGTTAGCAACAGTAAGCACCATTACAGCAGAATCCGCACCAGGGTTTTGCAAGTAAATCTTATGTGTTCTTATTTCCTTCTATTCTTTGTGTTTGAAAAAAATATCCTACCAAATTCTGATCTCAACTACACTGTGAAAACCTTGGCAGACCTCTGGCTTTTATGGAAAGTGTTCTATGCAAACCACAAATCTGCTTGGTGTTGCTTTGAAAATCCCATCAATAGAGATGACCCTGGGCAGAACAGGCACTGTGTTTAAAGAAATGACCACAAAGAGCAATCCAGCAGTCACCAGACAAAATGGTGGCCAGCTACACAGAAAGCAGAATGACCCTCTAATGGGTATAACGAACAGGATTCACCTTACAGAGTGCAATTTATTTCTTCATGTCCCATGACAATAGCAATAGCAAGTCTGCTCCTGATTATCACAGAAGCACCAGATCATAGAAAGCAGAAACATCAGAAAGATTCAGAACCAGAGATACATTCAATGACACTGTCAGTGTCCTATCCCCCTTATTTCTGCTTTAACACTTGCTCAAGCTGATTGGAAGGAATCTCTCTTTAGCTGGGGTAACTAACCAGTGTCCACAGGTGCCATATTGGAGGCTGCTTTGTCTCCTTGTTCCACCAATTTGGCCAAACTAAGATTGGAAACATTAGTATAAATGCTTTTAACAATTGAAGTCTTCCTTTAAAATAGAAAATGATGGGTTGTAAGAACAATGCTAAGCACGAAAATACACAATACTTTATGTTGTATGCAGAGTTTATATTGGCCTTTAAAGCACATGGTGCCCCTGTACTCCAGGTCTCATAAAGGCATTTCTTACCCTTCATAAGAGGGTCAAGTTGGTCTGGACAAATTTCTCTAGGTGTAATTAGGACATTAGAAATAGTTGCTGTAACAGAAATTACAATGGCCATTTCTCTTCTCTTTACAAATTCTTTTACAGAGGCACTATGCAGAAGGTTTCCATTAGAAAGTCTCACATTAGAAGGTTTCCATTAGAAAGTGCTCCAGGTTCTACAAAACAGGCAGTCTTGTCACTGTCATTGACACAAACCAGAACTGTTCCTTAATATCACACAAAATTAATTCGGCAGCACATTCCTATTATCTGAACAACTTTTAACTACAGCTCTTGGTTTACATGGAGGCAGCTAAACTCATCTAATGCAGATTCATGAAAACAAACCTGTGAAGACCTGTCCTACATTTGCACCTTTAAGGGATATTCATCTCCATCATTATGTAGAAAATTAGAGTTCAATCCCAGCAGGGCAGAGCAGTTGCAGATGTTGCAGTATTGTGCTTCCTGTGCTTTTCCCACGACAAAGGATTCTGCATGCAGTGCATTTTCTCTGTGAAAAAACAGGAACAGATATTTCAACAGGCTGTTATTATCCAACACACGATTACTAGTGGACACTTCAGAATGCAAGTTCCTAGATAGATTATTTTTGCAATTTCTGTGGCTCTTGAGTCAAATTCTCATGTTTAGGTACTGCTAAAATATTTTTCATCAGTTCTTTATGTAATTCTAAATTAATGCTAACAATATATATTGTCTGCATGCTTAGTGAATTTCAGCTTTTTATTTAGGAAAATTCCCCTTTTTAATTTTCCTCAATATCTAGATAATGTCCCCTATTTTATCCAACTTAGCATTTCAGAGTGATGACTGTGATCACTGCAGCCACAAAAGAAGGAGGAACACAGTGTCCAAAGTGAACTTTTTGTTTTAAACCAGTGGCACAGAAACCAAGCATCTTGTAATTCCCCTGTGTCAGCATGAGAGCCTTCAATTAGACTTTACCTTTCCATATTAAATGTTAATTAGGCCTCTGTAATATTATTATAACTTGTCCTGGCCATCATAGTCACCCTGTATTATATACAGGTGGGGAAATAAAATCAGGTGTTGAAAGAAAGGAAAATTATTAATTCCAGCCAGAGTAAGGAACAAAAGACAACAATTAATCAAAATTCCCATGAAGGGCTGTTAAATTAGGTGCCATCTATTTGCTCTGTTCTGAAGAATTTGAAACACAGTGAGGAATTCAGCTTTTAATTCAAGACTGGCACTACTAGGTCAGCATTTGGAAATGCTACAAAGAAGGTTTTATCCAGCTTTTTATCTGTGTTTGTCAGTTCATTATGTATCAAAGGTGCCTGGATTTCATAAGATAATGACTCACTGACCTGAAGTGCAAACAAACACAAACTGTACACAGAAGCCCTTTCTCCATCCCTAATCTTTGATAGATAAAGGACATGCTCTTTCAGTTATTTTACCAAAGACAAAGGCCAATTTTTTTTTTCCTGATATTCTTACAGACCAAAATGAGACCTTATCTGGAAGATAAGCAAAGGCTCCTATGTCTTTACAAAATTTGGGGCTTTATTACAAAGAAGTACCTATTCATTTATTTGGCAATTTGTGTTTCTTAAGTAGCAACCACGTATCTGTAAGCAATGAAATTTTCCAAGAGCATACAACACCTTTTTTGTTGATTAAAGATGTTGAGGGAAGAGACCCTATGACATAATAAATATATTTTAGAAACTAAAATTGTCATGAAGAATTCCAATGTTACTGAAATCTTTTTTCATGCATAAGTTCAGATGTAGCTACTCCTGAATAAAACAAGGAAGGAAGTTTCACAGGAAACTGAACTTTGTTTCAGCACAGCTACTTTATCAGTTTCCTTATCGTGGATCTTTCTGGAAAGCACAAGAACCAGACAGAAACACAGTGAAGGACTATGCACTGCTGTCCTCAGGTGCCATCCAGGCACAGCTCACCAACAGCCAACATGAAACTGGACAGCCCTAACATTATTTGATTTTGTCTTATGAAAACTGAGTACTTAAGTAACCCCAGGTTGTAGACAGGGACACAAACATTATTTAAATCCAGGGCACTCCAGAACTGTCTCAAGGTACAAGCTCAAGCCAGTAACAGTCCTTATCCTAATATGTGCTTGGGATACTAAAGGAATGTTTTTCTGCCCCAGTTCTCCCCTGAAAATAAAGTCAAAGGCCTTGAGGAGAGGGAATATGTGCAGAATAAGGGACCCTCCCATCCCAGCCAATGGGGCAGGTTACTATTTTTCTGGAAAAGTTGTCTATAAGTTACATACTGCAGGACAGCAGTCTGATAAGGAGCACAGTCCACAAGGATCAAGAGTAAGGATGGATCCTAGTGGCGTTTTCTCTCCCTCCTCTGATTTCATCCAACTTGTTTCAGTTTAATTGCAGTCACCATTTAACTGCAAAATAACATCGAGAAAACCATGTACTGTTCTGGTGTTCAAAAGTGCCCACATTTTTACAAATCCTTCACCTATTCTCATGTATCTGAGTCATCCACATGACTTAATTTTTGATTTATTTTTCAGGTGGTCACATAAACCCAGCTGTTTCATTAGCCATGTGCGTGACTGGAAGATTAAAATGGACCAAATTACCAATTTACATATTAGCACAATTCCTGGGAGCTTTCGTTGGAGCAGCGGCTGTCTTTGGGATTTATTACAGTGAGTACACCTTAGACATGTTCACAGGACAAACTAGAGGTCAGGCAGTCTCCAAGGCCCCAATTTTTCAATGAATGTCAGGCAGGCAGAGGACTCTTGTTCACACAGGGCTAATGGCAGGAATGAAGCTAAAGCTACAAAAAGGAGAAAGGAAAGAGCATAAAGAGTTTGAAGGGAAAAACAATGGCTTGAACATTCCAGGTACCCTACAAATTTACTGAAACACTTAATACTCCAGGAAATGTTCTGATATTTAGAAAAATTATTCATGGGAAATCAGATACTCTGAGATCATGTATTTCTCAGTAAGGATTTTAAATTACTTAATAGCCAGGATATAGGGCTATCCATCTTCCAGGCAAATTAGAAACATTAAAGACCTGCTACAAGTGCCTGTAGGCAAGAATCACCAACATTGTTCATTGAGGGTACAGGATATGAGATCAAGTCCCTCCTGACTAAAGCTCAGACCACCCTTGAGAGGTGACTCTCCAAGGCAATGAACTCCAGGTACAGTGATAAACAGATCACATATTTGACAGGGAAAAAGAAAAACTTCCCCCTGTCCTTGAGGCACAGGGGGTTTTTACACAGTGTGCCAGCAAAGGAAAAAACAGTAACTGCCTGACTGAATCCACTCAGTTGGATCACTTGTGATTTTAACCCCCTGCTCCAAAACTCTGCTTCCACTGGCCCAGCCCATCTCCTCCAACATCTCTCTCCTGTGGGCACTATGTCTGCAGACCATGCTGGGTCTAGGTGCAGCAGGAAGGACAAAAATGGAAATGCTCCTTGCACGTCAGCTCAGTACCCACAGTAATCCCCCAAAGAGGAAAATCTATAGGAACCATGAGAACTGTTTTGGGAAGAGTTGTTTACTTGTTTTAAGGTTAGTGTTAGAATTTGGATACTGGAATGCTAGAACAAGATTTTCATCTGAATCAGTTCTCCTCAAGCCTGTCAGTGAGAATTATGGCTATGGCCATGATGCAGCAGTGTCAACAGGTACATAGGGCTGACAGGGGAGAAACTGTGCTCTGCCACAAGGGCAGCAGTAGGGAAGGGAGCCAGAGTGGGAAGCTTAGATCTAGGTTAGGGACATCTTCCTCATATTCAGGAGTGCTGGATTTTCTCATATCTCTATCTCTGCTCAAGTCCTCCTCTTGCTCTAATTAATTTCCAAACCTCTTCTGCAGTTTTTACTTCCTACAGCTTGTAGGACTTTCATACTCTTTGAGGTGCACTGAAAAGTAGTCACTGGTGGAAAAACAGACATAGGGAGAGCATCCCATTTTTTCCTCCTGTAATAGTTAAATGCCACAGAATTATCTGACACTTCAAATGAGAGCCTGATCTGCATAAATAACTGAAATTCTCTGCACTCATGTTGGGGCTTTAAGCAAAGCTAGAAAAAACAGGAACAAGGAAAAATAGATTTATCTGCTAGGTTCAGGAGGGGCTTATCATCCTCACCACAACTTCCATAGGAGATGGGGAGCTATTTCTGTATTCACAAATATCATCTCATCACCAGATCCACTAATAAAACAATGGATTAGAGTTTGTTACTCATGTCTGTCTATGAAGATTGAGTGTCCCATTTAATACCTTCCTAATTCTAAAACTGCACCATTGTCAAATGGAATAGCAGTAATTCCTGCTGGCTGGGAATCCACAACTGCACCATCAGGATGCTGTGCATTTCTTGGGTCATCATAAAAAATGTAGCACATGCAGATAACACATCTGCACTCAGAATCAGAAAATGCTCCTTGGCACTGAGTTTGGAGCTATGAGCAGGGGAAAACCAGCCCCATTTGGAAATCTGTGGTACATGAAACAAGTACGTCAAGGCACAGGAGGAGAAATGAGACAGGAGGGCATGAGGAGCGCATCACCTCAAACCCAATAATGGGGTTCCTAGGAAAAAGCCATCAGAGAATCACCAAATGGTTTGGGTTGGAAGGGACCTTAGAGCAGTTTCAGTTGAGAATGTGAAGTGCACAGACCCATCACATAGATTCCAGTCCTAGAAAACCTAGAAAAGTTCATGGAGAAGTGCAAGCAGTTGCTGCCTTTTTCCTACAGATGCCTTTATGGAGTACAGCGATGGAAAACTTGAAGTCACAGGACCAAATGCAACAGCACAGATCTTTGCAACATATCCAGCTCCCTATCTGTCCCTTGTAAATGGATTTGCAGATCAGGTAAGTGCACTTGCTATCTTAATTCTACAAATTAAATGTAAAAAAACCTGTAAGCCAAGCAGTAAAAAACCATGTAGATCTAAAAAGTGTGCCAAACGTCACCATTTCAGCCAGATATTCCCTTGTACAATAGAATGAGAATGCAATGCTGTTTGCAGGGGGTTACATTTTAGTAATATTTTACAAGCAAAATAATTTCAAGTTGTTCTTTCTCATACATCATCTTAATTGTTGCACTCAAAATGTCTTTAAAGCAATATATGTAAGAGGTTTTGCTCAGCATAAATCAATGTTTCTCCATAAATCTCAGCAGTCATGGCCACTTGCATCAAAATCTAGCCCATTTTGTGGACCTATTATTCCTTAAATAATGCTTAAGCAGACAGTTTAACATACCCTGAACAAGTGAGTTTTCTGCTTCCACAAGCCTCCTCTCTAACCTTTTTTGCAGATAGATTTGTAGTATTTGTTTTTCAAATGAATGAATCTGAAAAATCCTCAACTTCATTTCTAAGCTTTGTCCTTTAATTCCACTTACGCAACAGCAAAAAATGAAGTTTCATATCTTTTACATATTCCTAATCAACTTACACACCTTCTTCAGGAATA